ATCTCTAGAAATCATGCTCATACAAAAGGCAATTAATGTTACTCTTTAAACACTGGCTGCAAATTCACTAGAAATGTTCTCTTCCTACAAATATCTTCAAATATGGTTGAATGACAAATTAACTTTCCATACACACATTGATAACGTCGTAGAAACGTATGCCCTAATTACTAATTAACTCTTTAAAGAGTTGCTTGCTCCTTTGCAGCTAAAGAAACTCTTGTTTAGTCCACATTTATCTATGGTGGATTATGGTGACACACTACGACATACGGATATGGATCAGGCTGTAATTTATATGTATGTGTTAATTTAATGGACCTCAGTGAAAAACCAGAGGAAGATTTCATATGTACCTTTTCATCTTTAAAACCATTCTTGGTAAACTACCTACCTTTGCTGAATGTTTTCTCCTTTGTCAAACTGCCACCACACCAGATCCTCAAGATGGATTATCATCCCCAGAGTCTGCTCTGAATTTAGCAAAACTGTATTTTTGTACGAGGCACCCAGGGCCAGGAATAATTTACAAGGCAAATCTAATTTGGAAACACTGCCTTCATATCAGGCATTAAAGGCCATATTCACACATTTTATGAAGAATGTGACTGTTTGCAGTCATCTTTCTTCTATGCCTCTCAGATCCTATGTTATTGTAATATATGTGAAACAGATTGTTTATGTGACTTTAACTACCCCGAGACAATGTATCTCATTATCTATAAGGTCCAGGTTAATTTTGGTTAGTTTTTGCTGACTTTCTATGCATGGGTTTTTGCCTTTGTTTAGCACTTTTAAAACTGTCATCACCCTGTATGCATGGTGTCCTTTTTGTCGTGAAAAACTGAACTATGAATCTGAAAAATATCCTTTTGTCAATTTAACAATGTATAAAGCTGTCAGGATCCTAAAATACATTTAAAAAAAAGTCACAAGTGCATATAAATATGTACAACTCTGTGGTGATAATTACAGAAAATTTCATTATATAATAGGGTATAAAATATAAGATTGTTTCACTATTTACACACATAAATGGAAAAGTAAAATTATGCAAAACCTATTTAACTACAATGCAAGTGATTTTGAACCAACTCTTTTGTGCATTCTCTTATAAAATCTATGTGTGCAATTTACATTTACAGTCACTTCAAATACTTAGTCAAAGTTAAAAATATGGTCTACAGACATGAGACAATTCTGTGTGAAAGACCTACATCAGCATTTTCTACTGGTTTTCTCAACTCTCTACATTATATATAAATAATGTCACATTTCTATAAAGAAAACATGATCAGAGGATTCACTGTGATAAAATAAAAATCTGAAATTTCCTTTCAAAACCAAGTGGCTAGAGAATTTATAAACCATACAAGGAAAATGTCAGCAGCAAGCAGTCACTGATCACCAGATGTGGTCTGACTGACAGTTTCCATTGGGACGGTTTCTGCGACACAAGTGTCTGGATTCTAAATTTTAAATGAAAGAATACAAACAAAACAAATAAAAAAATCAACCACTTTTCACTAAAATAACTTTTTTAGTGTTCCCGCTCAAATCTTCATTATTGCTGAGACACTTTGAGGCATAAAAAAAAATGATTATCAGCTTGACGGGATGCTGCAACCTTCGTAATCCTGCACATGTTTGACTTGCTCCCCGCTGTCAATGTTTCTCATAAATAAACAAAGTCTCTAATCTGGTGAAAAAGCTTCTTGTGAGTCATGTCACTAATAAGCTTTGATCAGGCCTGTAAATACAAAAATAACGAAAACAAATCCCTGGGGTTTGGTTTAAAGAAAACATAATGGTATAACTGTACCCTAACTCTAACACACACACACACAGTTTCAAACTTACTTTGCCACTTTGTTAATGACAGGTGCAAAGTTGGTGGGTCCATATAACTGCACCGTCCTCAGGCTCTGGAAATAAGCCTCCAGAACGCCCTCTATGCCCACACAGTTTGGATTCTCGTTGTCACCACTCTGCAACAGACAGCATACAGACCACTAATGAAGCACACAGTGTACATTCAAACATCCAGTGTAGCCTACAAACGCTATATTTAACAAAGCAGTGCAATAAACGAGGAACATCCATCCATCTAGAGTACAACTGTTGTCATATTTTACATGGTTCTTCCAAAGATAATCAGACATATTTTAAATACGCTGCAAATACCCGCAGTTATATGTATACTATCTGCATTTAATTTGCCATTGTCTGATACACTGTGCACAAGGAAGTAGTGTCAACACCGTGAAAGAGAACATAAACAGAAAGCTCAAGAGATTACTCCCAAATAAATGTCTCTCTCCTTACACCTACAGCAGGATCAGTACCTAATGACACTGTCTAGTTATGTGTCTATAGAGGGCAATACTGGTCACTTTCTCACACAACTGGAAAGTTCAGGTAAGTACAGTAAGTTAATAAGTTCATGGAAGCTCAAAGTTGTCGGTGTAAAAATCAGTGTGAACTCTGGGGGGCACTGACAGGGATTTAAGATCAATCTGTAATATTACAGTAATAAAGTATTTTTAAGTCTTTAAGAGATACTCCAGTGATTAAGTATTGCACTTCCATAAAGAACAGGGACTCACAAGAGTAGCATTAATAAAAAGAACAGTCAAAATCAAAGCAGCAGACAGTAGAGGCCTGGAGAATTACTCTTTTAAACTCTACCTTCAGTTTGTAATGAAGGTTTTCTGTTAAAGGTCCAGTGTGTAACATGTAAGTTACCTATTGTCAGAAATGAAATATAATATTCATAGGGATGTTTTCATTAATGTACAATTGCCTGACAATAAGATTTGTTTTGTATTTTCGTTACCTTAGTGAGCTAATAATGAGCTGTTTTTATCTACAGAGGGAGCAAAGAGGGTCCAAATGTAGTACCTCAGACCTCCATCCTCATATCTACCTCCTCAGGCCTCTCTAATGCAGGTATTATCACCGCCCTGATGGTCAAAGAATGTATTGTATTGTTGTGATGTATGTAAAATATATTATGACTGGCAACTTTAGGTCAATTGGTTGCTCGTAGAACTTTTGAATGAGGCCTCTACAGTAGATCTAATATGAGTGAAGATTCAACAACTGGATTGCTTGTTTCTCATCTTAATTTATTTCAGGATTTGTTGGACTGATAAGGTAAAATAAGTAAAAGTTTTTTATAACAGAACCCTACTACTCATACTCTGAATTGACTGAATTGAAACAAAATGGTAGAATATTTCAATAACACACCACTGGGCATCTTTCCTTTAATTTGTCACATTACCCCTATCTTTTCAATAATTCTTTAAATTAAGCTTTCAGCATTGTACATTCACCCAAATAGATTCTAATTTTGGTAACAGAAGGAGAGAGTCGGCTTCACTTCAGCTTAGCATCCAGCCGTTTCTGACTGGTTGCCCTGATCCCTCAGGAGGATGCAAGGAGGAAGTGGAGGGGATGCTGGGAGATTCCCGCTGGCAAGCAGATGAGCCAACTTCTCAACTTGTGTGACCAGCTGCTGTCTCAGTGACAACTCCTGGTCCAAACCACACCCTGCTACGGGTGAACTGTGTGTAGGTGTGTCTTGTATGTGTGAATTCATATGTTTGTGTGTGTGTTCACATGTGTGTGTCTTACCAGTGGGAAGGCGTGGGAGATTTTGCCGTCAGGGGGCAGCTTAGCACCAAAACCGTAGGCAGGAAAGAGCTTGTCACTGTCGTAGTCCTGGATAATCTCACCTACTGCTTTCAGGGCCATGGCATATGCATTCATTTGGTAGGGACTCATATAGTGGAGGGAGGTGGGCTGGGAGGGGTTACCTTGGAGGAAGACACACAGGCATTACAATAAAGTAAATGATGATATATCTCTCCTCCGCTGTGTGTGGTTTTCACCAGCAAATTACAATGTGTCAACAGGAGATGATTCATGCTAACAAAACACTGTATATATGTTTCATCTCCTTCTTTCAAACAGGTTTACTAAAAAGAGCGTCTATCATTTGCATTTTTATTTGCAATAGAGACAGACTATGGCTGTGATAAACTACATTCAAAATCGTAGCTTTAACAGTCAAATTTTACAATTGCAGGAAAGGAAATAAAATATGAAATATTTTTCATGTCATGTAAACAGGATTATTATGGGGATTTATCAGTTTATGCAATTATGTGAATGCCTTATGCAATTGCTATATTTTAAGCATTAGAATTATTGCACACATGTAAACAGCAAAATCGGACTTCTCCCCTTGGAAAAAAGCAGGTCTGGACTCTCAATTATGAAACGAGTGCCCAGCTCTAACGGGAATAAAGGGAGGGGAATGATTTGATTAGCCACGATAAATGCCTGCTCCTAACACAGCTACTGATAATATATTCTTCCTAATCCCATCTATCTTCCAACTGCGCCACAGGTGTACTGCGCGCCTCTGGCCATGAAAATACCAAACACATTCACCACACCCTGTGCACCTTGCACGGTCGACTGCACTTTCCAGCGAGTGGAAATAAGAGCCTAAATGTAACAATCTATTCAAGACAGCAGTGTGCCCACCATCACAAGCACAGTGACTGCTATGAAAAATGAATAAAGGTCATGTTACATTACAAAGGGGAAAAAGGACAAGTATCCTTCACACTGCAGTATTATATTTTAAAAGTACTTTTTTAAAGCTGTTTTCAGTTTGTAGTATTTTGCATTAGTAAGAGATCTGCATAAAAATATAATCTAATTAAAACTAACTATTACTTAACCATTCCTCTGCATAGGATTTACAAGTACCAGAATTATGACAGATGTTAAAATACAGTAGCGTATGGGCGCCCAGTTAGCTCAGTCGGTAGAGCTGGCGACCCATGCCCGGGTTTGAATCTGACCTGCGGCCCTTTGCTGCGTGGCATCCCC